CGCCTCCTCCCCATCACTCGCCGCCCAGCCGCCGCTGACCCCGCCTCCGTCCCTTGACCACCCCAAGCACCACCCGGCTGGTCCCTCGCTCCGTTCCCGCTGACCCGCGGCCCCGCCCCCGCTCAGCCCAGTCCCGTCCCGTTGGCCTCCCGCCGCCGCACCCGCATTGACCCCGCGCCTCGCTTCCGCACGGTCCTCCCGCGACTGTCCTCAGCTGACTTTGACACTCACTGGCCCCCTCCCCACACTAGCCCGGGGATTCCCACCACTACCCTGCCCTCGCCTTCTCGGTCCTGCCGGCAGCTGACCTTGCTGACCCTCTCGCTCCGCCCACGCTAATCCTTGTCCAGATTCCCTGACCCCGCACGCGGACACGCGGCAGTGCCCCCTGCGCGGTCCCCCACCCGCTGCCCCTGCGCAGTCCCCCACCCTGTGGTCCCCCCTCTAGGCTTGGCTGACCCGCCACCCCCTGCCCTGCCAGGCACGGGCGAGACGCCCACGCTCAGCACCCTGGACTTCTACATGGCCCGGCTGCACGGCGCCATCGAGCGCGACCCCGCCCAACACGAGAAGCTCATTGTCCGCATCAAGGAGATCCTGGCCCAGGTCGCCAGGTGTGTGTCCGACGGGGGCCGAGACGTGGATTTAAATGACCAGATCTATGCGGGGGGGGGGGTCGGGTCTGTGGGAGCCGCCCAGTGAGGTCGCTGTGGATTTTACTCCCTGGCCACCGCCCCTGGGGACCTGATGGGAGCGCCTGTGCGACGCGTCAGCTGGTGTGGGGACTGCAGGGGGCGCTCATCAGGCCGTGTACTGTGTTAACGCTGCACCAAGACTTCCCCAAAGCTTCTCAGGGTGGATCCCCGCGGCCCAGGTTCCGTGGGATCAACTCCAGGCCCCCCACCCTGGCGTTTGGAGGAGCTGGGATGTGGCCTCTAGGGTTCCCCAAGGCCGAGTTGGGGACTGAGAGATGATGGGTCCCCCTCATGTGCCCCCTCTTCTCTCTCTTGTTACAGCGAGCACCTGTGAGGGGTGGGCTGCCCCTCGGATCCCGGGAAGGCGCTCTAATCACAGCCGTTTCCACACCCCACCCAGATGGACGAGAGTCTGGGGGTCCACCCTTTAGGGCCAGGCCCTATCCTGTGCCTTGGGGCTCCAGCTCCCTAAAATTAAATTTCTACCGCATCCCTTCAGCTTTCCATCTCTCAGTTACCTGAACCCAGGAAAAGCACTCGCTGCACGCTATACCCAGAACCCTAAGGCTGAGGGGCCCAACAGGACCTCTCACCTCCCAGGGCACGTCACACTACAGGATGCAGACAAGTCCTCCGCCTGCCCCAGACAGAGGACCCGCAGCTGCACACCCGGCCTGGGGGGCTACACACCCTGGGAGGCAGGGCAGACAAAACCCCCTCCTGGCACACTGCAAAGTCCCCAAATTACTCACCACTGGGGAGCAGGTGACATTGTGCCACATAGGTAAGGAGGCCCTGTGGTGACAGGCTCCCCCAGGGCAGAGCAGGGCAGGGCCCTCGTATTCCTGCACCCCGGAATGAGAGGAGGCTGGTACTGACCATCCCTCCTCGTCCAGCTGGGGACCCTAGTGGAGGTGGCCCCTTCCCACTGCTTAATCTGGAGTTTTAAAATAAAAACAAGTGGAATTCATGTTTCAAGCTTGTGTGTAAGGTTTTTCTTTGTGGGGGGGAGTGTGGATGGGCCAGAGATGTGCCCAGGAGCCATCACACCCCACTGTTGGTGGCACCAGGCCTGCCCTCTTACCTCTAGCAGGTCTCAAATCCTGGGTTGCCCCTGTGTCTCAGACAGGGAAACTGAGGCCCAAACTTGCCTGGGTTCACAGCAAGTCAGCAGCAGTGCAGACATCCCTCCCCCGCCCTCCTAAGGGTCATGCCTTGTGGGCTCAGCACACGTGGGGGACTTAAGGAGGCATAGGGGATGGACACGCCACGCAGCTCATCCTTCATCTTCCTGACCAGGGTCAAAACCACTAACCCGCTGAGTGACCTTGGACAAGCAACTTCCCCTCTCAGGGAGTTTTGTTTATTGAAGCAAGATACACAACATAGTCTTGACCATTTTAGCTATTTTAAAATGCGCAATTCAGTGGCATTTGGTATATTCACAATGCTATGCAACCACCACCTCTATCTAGTTCCAGAACATTCTCGTCACCCCCCCAGAAGAAACCCCGCCCCATCAGCAGTCCCTCCCCCAGCCCCCGGCAACCATGAATCCACTTTCTGACTGTGGATTTGCCTGTTATCACACAGTGTGCGGCCTTCTGTGTCTGGCGTCTGTCACTGAGTGTGACGTGTTCAAGATCTACCCACGTGGCAGCGTGTGTCAGAGCCTCGTTCCTGTTCGTGGCTGAGTGATGCTCCAGTGTGTGGATGGGCCGCGCTGCGTGTGTCCGTTCATCTGTGGATGGATGCACGCAAGTGGCTTTTCCCTTCGGGCTACTGTGAATCACACTGCCATAAACATTCGCACACAGGTTTTTGCCTGAACATCTATTTTGAATTATTTTGGGTAGATGAGTTGTGGGTGATTCTGTGTTTCACTTATTGAAGAACATTCCCAGAGACTTGGATTTAATGGGATGTTTAAGACATCCTAAAAAGTTGGGAGAATAATTTGACAAACCCCTGTGCTGTGGGTTGAATTGTATTTCCCCCAAAGTGTGTTGAAGTCCTAACCCTCAGAACCTCCAAATGTGACCTTATTTGGAAATAGGGTCACTGCTGATATAATTAGTGAAGATGAGGTCATACTGGAATAGGGTGGGCCCTTAATCCAACATGACTGGTGCCCTTATAAGAAGATAAAATTTGGGCAGACACAGAGAAGAGACAGCCATGTGACAACGGAGGCTGAAATTGGACTGACACGTCTACAAGCCAAAGATTACCACCGACCACCAGGAGCTACCGGAGGGAGGAAGGATTCTACCCGGAGTTTCAGAGCGACAGGACCCAGCTGATACTCGATTTTGGACTTCTAGCTTCCAGAACCGTGAGAGCATCAATTTCTACTGTTTTGAGTCACCCAGTTTGTGGTACCCGATACTGTCAACCTCGTCCAGTCCCATCCTCCTGGCACAGACATCCCCACACCAAATTTGGAGTTTACCATTCCTGGGCAGGTCTTCATACTTTCAACAACACAGAAGTGTGTGTCCCTAAAAAAGTATCACTTTACAGCGGTTTGTTTTCTGTTTAGCAAATAAAGATTTTGGCGTATACGATTCAGTGGATTTTAGTATATTCACAAAATTGTGCAAACACCACCTCTAATTCCAGAACTTTCCATCACCGCAAAGCCAACCCTGGCCCCATCAGCAGTCACTCCCACCCCCTCCCCCAGCCCCCTGGCAACCACGACTCCACTTTCTGTCTCTGTGGATTTGTCTGTTCTGGACATTTCATGTAAATGCAGTCACTGTGTGGCCTTTTGTGTCTGGCATCTGTCACTCAGCGTGACGTGTTCCAGGTTTACCACATTGTAGCGTGGGTCACATTTTTAAACTTTATGTGAAATTTCTTCCAAAGCCTCCTGCAACTTGCCGTTTTCCATCAACGCTCGGTTTGGGCTGCAGTCTGTCTGCTCCTTGGCCTTACACTATGGCATGTCACCACGTGATGGGACTGCCGCTTATGGAGCCCAAATTCCCAACTCGGCATTAAAATTTCTTCCAAAGCCTCCTGCAACTTGCCGTTTTCCATCAACGCTCGGTTTGGGCTGCAGTCTGTCTGCTCCTTGGCCTTACAGTATGGCATGTCACCACGTGATGGGACTGCCGCTTATGGAGCCCAAATTCCCAACTCGGCATTCTGATGGCTACCCAGGAGTTTCTGGTGTCGCATTCCCACAGGACTTTTACTGACCAAACCTGGTGGCCGGAGCCTCTTTCCTCGTCTGTAACCTGGGGTTTTTGTTTGTTTGTTTGTTTAATTTATTTATTTTTTTATTTTTTAACTTTTATTGAATCAAAATTGATTATAAATATTTTGGGGGTTCAACATTGAGATATGTGGATCTAATCAATATTACTAGCATATATATTGTTACAAATCGTACTTATTCTTGATGCCCCTTGTCCAGCCTCTCCTCATCTCCTCTTCCCTCCGCCCTCTAATCACCCTAGATTTCCTCTCTCCCTTTGAAAGAGTCATGGTTACTCTGTTGATTTGCTGCCCAAATGACCTGTCCAGTGCTGAGAGGTGTGATCAGGTCCCCCAATATTATCATAGAGCAGATGTCTCTTCCGTCACTACGGAACGGGCTCTGTGGAGACAGACATCCTCCTCCTTTCTTTATCTCTGCTGGTGACTCTCCTTGTGTCACTGGGACCGTCTGTGTGGTGGTTGTGGCATCTAGCCGCCTTCACGGTGGCCATGGTTATTGTGGTGGCTGTGTTGGGCCACCCACATGGAGGAGATGTTTTTGGCCTGCTCCGTGATGCTGGTGGCGTGCCTGGTTGTGGGGAGTGTCGGATCCCTGGTTCCATGCCCCACGTTCCCGAGTCGGCCCCAAGACACTGGCATTGGGTGCCTGGTTGTGGGAGGTGGGTCCTGTCCCCTTCTCCATGCCCCGGGTCCCCAGGCAGGACCCGAGGCGCTGGCAAGGTGTGTCTGGTCGTGGGAGGGAGATACTGTCCCCTTCTCCATGCCTCTGGCCCCTGGGCAGGGCCCTGATGTGCAGTCCCAGCATGCCTGGCTGTGGGAGGGGGGTCCAGCCCCCTTCTCCATGCCCCGGGTCCCAGGGCAGGCCCCAAGGTGCTGGCACAGGGTGCTTGGCTGTGGGAGGGGAAAGAGATGAGAGGAGTAGGTGGAGGAGCCGGGGCTTGAATCCCGGACTTTGTACATGTGAAGCACGCGCTCTGCCACTGAGCTACACTCCCAACCAGAGGGGTTTAGTATATTCACAAAGTTGTGCAAACATCACCTCTAATTCTAGAACATCCCATCACTCCAAAGACTGCCCGAGTGTCCACTGCGTGCCAGGCACTGTACACTGGGCACCGGGATAGAGCAGGAGAACAAAAGACATCTGAGGGCCAGCCCGGTGGCACACCGGAGACTGAGCCACTTGGGAGTGTGGCGGCGCTCCCGCCAAGGGTTCAGATCCCATGTGGAGACCGGTTC